TTTAGGACAGTTCAAAAGTCTCTTGAGGGAAGAGCAGCTGCGGACAAATATCAAGTCTGTATGCTGCATTCATCTTTTGGTTAGCATTAAATGTTTCTCTTTCTGTTTAAAAACGGGTGATGAAAAGGGACGAGAATGTCCTATCAATGAAATCGGACGGTGACATTCCACACCCTTTAATGTGCTCGGCTAATAAACTGGCATTTGATGTTCATTGATTTAGATAGTGGTTGAAGCCAATCACATTCAGCGGTAACTGATGCAGTACTGCTGTATGTCTGTATTTGATTTCTGTATTGACCTGCAAGGACTTCTGTTAAGTGGCTTATACTCCTACTTTGTTGTTTGTGTGTGTGTGTGCATGTGTGTGTGTGTGCGTGTGTGTGTGTGTGTGCGTGCGTGCGTGTATATTAATGATCGTAGAACCTAAAAACGCTCAACTAATCAAGTTACAAAAACTATAAAACTGTAATATAGAGTGTTTAAGAAATGCAGCGCTATAGCAACATAGGTGGGCATGGACGGTGCACTTGAAGGCTGCTTCATAATAATATATGAGTGTCTCAAACAAAAGTGGCCCCACTATAGAAGCTATGGGCCCTTCATTCTCCAATGCAAGTTTGAATAAATGAATGCTTTAGCATGATAATTGTCATATTCTTATCGGAAGTCTTAATGTCAAGTTTGTTTCTTGTAAAAGAAAGTGAATCAGTTGAATTTAATGAATAGTTACCATACTTGCACGTCATGGTGCATGGTCAGGATGGTACCACCTCTGCTTCAATTTGAGCCAGGGAAAACCTTGCACATGTTCTTCAGGGCTTCATCAGGTCAGCTGGTCTCTTTGAATTTCTGTTTGAGACTCACTAGTTAACAGGTGTAAGGTGAGTCGGGTCCACTGTTTTTGAGATGACCTCTTCATCCTGTGGGCAGTCCTCAGGGTCGGGCCCACTGGTTAATGACGGTGGTCACAAAGTTCAAAGTCGGACTATGACAAGAATACAAGATCACTTTTTCCAGTAATTCTAGCCCCCTGCTGTGTCTGGCTTTTGGGGTTTAGTTTTTGATATTCAAACTTAGATTCCTTCAAGTGCTTGATAGGTTTTACATTCCAATGAGAAAAGAATCCATGCAGATTGTAGGGCTGTCATGGTCCATCAGATGAGGGATTGGCATAACAGTTGATGAATGCATCGTTAAGAATTTTTGTTGATCGTTCCCAACTGCGTGATTGATCACATCTTGAAGTGATTTGAGGCAAAATGGAGTTTACAGCATAGCAACGACCAGAGATGCTGTTGATTCAGGATGGTGAGCCGCTTCGCTATGGCAACTCATCTCAGTGTGGCATTATTCACGTTAACACACATCACTGGCATTGAAAGAGGAATTCCAAACATTCTGATAAATTCCACGATAAAAGTTATGGACAAATTCAATTTAAAAAATGAACCACACCAAGTTGTTAAGTCCAAAGAGTAACTACCCTGGAAGTTGGAGACTCCTTGCGATGTGAACTCTGCGAGTCGTGTATCGTATTGCATTCTCATACAATAAGTTGTACCATATCACTTTTTTTAATCCGTAAAAAAATGGAATGTCAGTAAAGGAAGACACAGGTTGTTCCAGAAAGAGGACATGGTGACAATCAGGACAAAAAAACATTGGTTTTATTGGCCCGTTCACATTCATTGGAATCCCAGTACAGTCCATACGCCGCTCGCATCCATTTTAAATTACAAATATAGTGATGTTTGTAAAACACAAAATATGAACTGTACATACTATATTGCTATCATTTGGCTATGCGTGGTAGATGACAGTGTCCCGTTACTTGCTTATTACCCATGGTACTACCCTTCCACCTGATGGCAAAAAAGTAAGGGTCTAACACAAGTGTGAGAATTGTTGAGGAGCAAAATATGGTGCACTACCACGGTTTAGGCTTTCCAACACAAGTGAGCACTAATACGAGGGGCGGGGGTCACAAGTGACTTGTAACACGGAAATGGGGGTGGTGGGAACAGGCAATTACGAACAAGGGTGGCGGGGGGCGGGGTCACACACGACACAACAGGACGAGGTTGGAGTTTGCACTCCCGAATCCCACTGCCTTAGTGCAACCCAAATGAACAGTGGTGAACCGAATGAACCAAAACTAATTATGGTGAAGTTCCCGAACACACGAATGAATAAAGTGGAGAAACGAATGAATGAATGGATGGATGATGGCTATTGCGAAGAACTAATTTAGCTGCACTAATCGAGAGGCAGTGGTACCAAGGGATTGAGGCTGACAAACACAACAAGACAAGACAATAGTCATGAAACAGCCAGCCCCAGGTACTGACTACAAATACCACACAAGACCCCCCCAACTGAAAACAACTGAGCCCTTTTAAACAGTGGTGGTTAAACTTTGCAGGTGGTGGCACCTGGAACTAATTGCTAATCGGGTCACTCTCCCCTGCACTGATTGGTCAGCTAATTTGTGAACAAGGGCCACCAATCAGCAAAGAGCAGGGGAGAGCTACAGCACACAGGCAAAGATTAACCCCAACACAACCCCCTTTTGGTTTTTTTTCGTTGTATGAGGGGCAGGAAAATGGGAATGATGTTAATGCATGAAGATTTTTTTACACTAGGGGATATTTTCGCCCATGTAGGTTTCGTTGTAGAGGAGTTTCATTGTAATTTGCGTTGCCGCCATATCGTGCAACTACGATTCACCGCAAAACCACTTGTGAACTCTTATGGCAGAACCCCACACACCGTGTGTGTGTTCAGTGGAGTTACACCGCATCGCTTGTTGTCTGGGGGGCCCCTAGGGAGAAGTTAAAAAAAAATTGGAATCTGCCACACTTAATATCAGATTGTAATTACCATCCTTGTGGAACTCTGCGGTGTATCAACTGTTACCTGTGAACACGTCACTGTTGTGCAAAGTTACAGTTTATTAATTTTGTCACCTTTTTATTGGAAGAGACATTTTCAGTCCCTCTTTTTTTAGTGTTGGCTGTACTTTAAAGTGATTGTATTGTAGCGCCCAGCCCCTTATCCTCAACACATTCAGTACATGCAAACGTGCATCACCGGACAGCGTGGTTGCATTCAATACTTAGCCGTCATGTTGATTTTGCGCCCCCATTCCTAAAATGGGCCCAGAAAATAGGAAAAAGACAATGTGTCAGCAAGTGATGCAGGTCCTTCATCGGACACAGCACATTTAGTTTTCATTAAGAGTTAAACATGTACATGGAACATTAATGGGGTTCAGCGGCAATGGTGTGCTTCACTGTATGTCATCGTGATAGATTAGCAACTCAGCACATGAGGGTGCTACCGAAAGCGGAGGCATTAATGTGTTGTGGGGGAAGAACTGCTGGAAAATGTCTTTATCCAAGGATTGGTGTTTACGATGCCATCTAATATCATCAGTGACATGAACATCAGCGAGCCACGTGGAGGAGGCTGCGGAGGGGAGGAAGAATGGAGCGAAAGGTCATCACGAGCGCCGTCGTTTCATTAGGCGAGATGAGGCTGCTGCTGCATGGGGAGTGATGGCGAAGGTTGTTAATGCCTGCTCTGTCAGCCATGTTGGATTCAAGGCCATAAATTAATATCTCTCCTTAAAAGGGTTTTATTTGGGGATTTACTGGCTTCCCTTGAGTGTCTGTGGTGTAAAGAGGTTATTTCATTCTTTCTACTCCTGTGTCCTTTCCCTCCCACTTCAACTTCAAAAATCTTTGGAGAGAATCGGTGTTTGCGCTGTGCTGCAGGCTGACTTGACACATTGAGCATTCCTCTTCAATTTTTTTTTTTTTTCACCAAGTGCAGAACCCAGCTGTCATTTGTACCATTGTGCTCCGAAAGGAGAGCTTCTGCGTCTCTGAGCAGTGGCGACGTAGTTCCCCTCCTTCACAGTAGGCCTCAAGGTGCCATTTAGCATATCAGAGGAATATAACATCCACTGTGTGTATCCGATATGAGATTTTATGTTGACCGAATCGCACAGAACACGGGTGGAGTTAGTGTCCTGGTAGAAGAGAGTCATATAACATAATTTGAAGTGGCCCAGTGACTGACAGGCTTTATTGCTAACGGTCCATCAACAGTGATCAGGCTCGTGATTAAGAGCTCGAGTGAAGACATGGACTGATCCCGCTAAGAGCACAGAAGGCCGAGCTGTGTCATGGCCACCTGTGCTCCACGTCACACACTCGCTCGCTCTCTCTTTCTCACCGTCACCGCCCATCTGTCATTTGACTTTTAAATTTTGACCTCAGTGGTACGACGGGGTATACATAATTGTCATGTATCATATCCTTTCCTATCACAATACAGTGTCAGATATCAATATTAGGGCAGCTCGATGTTTGAGGAATTTACCTTTACTACTATTAATACGATGTGGATGTTAGTATTCTCCTCTAAAAATTGTGTTGGACCCCTGCTCAGATCTATTTTTGAGATCTGGTCTGATATTCAATACTGTGTCTGCCTCCATAACATATGACAGTATGATTAGACTAAATGCAATCAGGTTGTCGTTTTACATTGTGGGATATATACAATCAATTAAAGTTAGAAAGTGGTGATAAACTTAATTGTCAACAGATCTGTTGCGAATTCCCGTTGCTTCCTAATCTTTCGAATCCTCAGCTGCATATACAGTAGGTCCTCCGCACTAATTCTTTTTGCTTGTCCAGTTGAGGTAACAAGGAATGTTTGTTTGTTTTTTTTTTTACTACTTTGTAGTTTATACTGGTGGTTTCAACAAATATATCAGGCCCTTTTCTAGTGGAGGTGCTCAGCAATCTTGTAGAAAATGTTCCCAGAAGAGTGGAAATAGTTACATCTGCAAAATGGGTGACCACCTCAATATGTTAACGGAGACAAATATTTTTGTCTGTGATTCTCCTGGCTCTCCAGAGTTCAGGTAAAAAAAAAAAAAAAAGGTTTTAGTCATCCTTCTAAAACCTTTTTCTTTTTCCTCCAAGGTACTGAGCATGCCGCCACAGCGACACAACCTGCAGCCTTCTCTGACCTGTTACCTCACTTCTTGGTGGAACCAGAGGATGAGTTCATAGTGAAAAACAAGCCAGTGATGCTCACCTGCCGATCCACTCCGGCGACGCAGATCTACTTCAAGTGCAATGGCGAGTGGGTTCACCAGGATGACCACTTGATTGTGCGGACCGTGGACCCAGCTACAGGTACATACAGACCATTTTGTAGTCATGCTAAAAGTAACTTCCATCTGAAGCAGGTTAACTTTATTTTGTATATTTTAATGGATGTGGTGGGGCCTTGTGCAACTCTTTTGATTATAATACAAGGCTAGGCGGGGAGGTGAAGGAAAGTTTGCAATTTGCTCCTGATTACCACGCTCTATCAGGCTCTTGGCTTGTCCGCCAGCCTATTTAGCTTGCCGGGATCATAATAAGCACATTGGTTTCGGTCTCAGAAATCGCCATGATCACCTTGGAGACCTGTTTGTTTTTGATGTATTTTTTTTTTCTCCGTTGTGCTTCAGTCCCCCGCCTACACCATCAGTGCCATAAACATGCACGACACTGATGTTGTGTGATTCAGCAGCGATCTGCCAATGCAAGCCTGACATCTGACAAGAACGTGAAAATGACAGGCAAAAGGGAGCAAATGCAAATGTCCACAATAACTTGGCAAATCATGCACATCAGCCTTTGTGCAAAAATCTATCTGCACTTGGTCTTGTATTAAACACCAAACAATATTTTTAGCTGGTATTTAGGACTAAATAGGTTTCATCTTACAATATCAGACAAAATGTTAAAGGCGTGACAGAATTAATTCTGCCTTGCTTCAGCATTCTGACACTGATGAATAACACTCTTTACAGCACCGAAGCCTTTGATTTGTTTGTGCTGACTTCTCCCCTCCTGTGCCGGAACATTTTCATGCTCCCCAATAAAATCACATTTAGGATTTTTTTTTTTTAATTCTCCGCTGTATGAGTGACTTTGAGTTATGATTTCAGCTTCAGTTCTCCACAGGATTGGATCTTATTTGTTTTGCCCCGCTGCCAAACCACAGAGAAGTTGAATCAGAAAAACAAGACATTTCCATCTGGTTCATGCCATTGCAGTGCTTGTATGACCACACTGGCTCCGTGTGTTAGAGGAACAGAGTAACATATACAGAGCTCACCACCTCATCAGATGTGTTTGAAAATTAGGATTTTCCTTTTTTAGTCTTCATGTACCATGATATACTTTCATGAATGTTGGCCATTGAGCATACACGAAAATATGATTTTTCTAACAAATTGAGTATTGTTAAAATGAATCTCCATTAGATGAATATCTAGCTAAGTTTTAGGTCAGATTTACAATGATTCATGCTCAGGGCAGTCTAATCACAACACTAGGGAACAATTGGGAAAAAAAGGGTTATATTGTGGATCAAAACTAAAATTGCCATGCTGAATCCAAAATTACAGTCTCTTTTCTTGTAGCACATCAAGTTTTTTTTTCCTCCACAGCTTACCCTGAAGAGAAGTAAGATTCCATTGAGTAGTAGAGGAGCTGATTAAGCTTGGACTCTGTGTGGGAGTTGTTTGTGCAGTCACAATTGAAAATAGGTCAGTTCTATCAATATCTGCAAAGACAAAGCTAGCATAGTCGGAATTAAGAAGGTTATTGCTAGGTTTTCTGTTAACCTTGTAACCATGGTCATACCGTTGTAACTTGTGTTTCATTTTGTGCTGTTTTCTTTCGTTTTCAAAGCTTGTAACTTTTCCATCATACACATTTATTTCATATGCTTTAAGAAAACGGGGAATACCATAGGTCAACAATTTGACGTGATAGAATTGGTGCATTGACTGCCATCAGATCAAGTGATGTTTACAAGGGATCTGCCAATTGAAAAGAGGACATTTTGTTTGTATGGTACCAGTAGGTCTTGTAACAGTAGTTGGGTGTTTATTTAATCAAAACTGCAAAGATTACTTGGTGTTTATTTGAAAGCGGTGTGTGTTTGGTGCCTGGAGCAGCCTTATTTGCTGCAAGCAGCCCACATCAGAATCAGAATCAGATTTTTTGGGCCAAGTATGCAGGAAACACACAAGGAATTTACTTCCCCGTTACAACCCGTTCAGAGGAACATAGACAAGACAACAGTAATCAACATGGGGGAGACAGAACGAGATGCTGTTAAGTTTGTGAACATTGTGATTATGATATTGTTTGAACTTGAAAGTTTGATTTCGGCGACAGTGTTTGTATTTAAAATAAATGTTCACAATCGATGATCATTTCATAGTAAGTCGTGTGCTGCATCAGTGTGGTGTCTTCAGACTGAGGCCATTGACGTATTGAGCTGACTGATCTATTATCTGTTGATTGGTTTATATGAGAGAATGGAATGATTAAATGCTTGAAGTTAAATCAAGTTTGATTGATTATTTCTGAGCGCAAATAGCATGTTTTGTGATAAAGGCGGCCAATAATTAGTTTGACACGAGGCAGTGTTACAGGAGTGCAACTCATTGGGCTTCATTTCATCAGGACGCTATTTCAGTTGCCAGGCCTCGCTGCCGCCACAATGTGCATATACGACAGCTACACCGTTTGCATATAGATAGACTCTGGCCAAGTTGTGTTTTTATAAACCTCGTTTCTGCAAATACTGTAGTGACATAGGAAAACTTCAACCCTCCTTATCTGTGTTTTCAGCCGTTATAAACGAGGCCCTCAAGCGGCATCTAATTCTTCTACGGGGAGGTCGCTGTAGGTAGGTATCTATTTGCGGGGAGTTGTTTATTTGTTCAAATGTCACGCTAACAACTAATTGGTACACAACATCTATTAGAGGGCTCTGCACTATTTAAGGACATGGTATGCAAGTCGTGACAAGCCAAGCAAAAAGAGCCTCTGTGGCCTGGGTAAACGGTATTCTTGGCCAAATATGTGCTCTCCCTTTGTCTTTCGTACATGTACACAAGCAATTCACTCTAGTCATTTAATTAGTCTGACCCGTGTAATGAATGGCCCAGTGAATATGACTGATTTTCTTCTCAATGGACCGATCGCTTTTGGAGTCAAGCAGTCAAACAGGTTCAAATATTCAACACCAGGTAGATGTTACTTGACCTACTTCTCCCTTTGTCGATATTCAATACATGGCACGGAGGCTCTTTAGTGAATATTAAGTAGTGTATCGGCTTCTCCCCAGTTGTGACCTTGTCGAGTTGGCTGCTCAACTTTGATAAGATGATCATGAATTGTGTTGTCACAGCACTGCCATAAACTACACTTTGAGGGAACATCATATTACCAACGCGGCGTTACTCTTCCAGCCATTAATGACAACGAGCCAATTCATCATGTAGTTAAGAGCCCTTATAGTCAGCATTTATTTTTCTTTAAAATGAATCTCTCTTGCACGGTCGTCACACTCTGTGAAGTTCCACCTTGCAGCAGTGGGCCGTCTCTCTGCGCTCCCACTGTCTTTGATGTCTATATGTCTCTTGTGGGCGCGGTGCAGTTATGAAGGACACATGACTGTCCAAAGGTATGACTGCTCCAAAGCACCCACATCGATCTCGCAAACACCTAGGCTGTTTAATGTCACTGCCGCCCTGTGGAGTTTACGGATGGGTCTCTCTAATTCCCCTTCAAGCCAGAAGATGAGACGAGCTCACATCCGTGTTTGTGTTATTTACCGATACACTCTCGAGGGGATATTGAAAGGTTAGGATTGGGAAGCATAGTTATTTAGTTATGGAAAAAGCACCACGTCGGTGTGCAGTACAGACTTGCTTGGCTGTCCTCACACCCAGATCGTCACACTGGACTCCAAACTTAGATTTGTTGCCAGGCAACAAGACTTCTGTCACAGGGGAAACTGGCCGCTATCAACGTCGTGCCATGATGAGTTGGATGGAAACCCAAGTTTCTTGACAATTTACACAGTGGCAAAGAGTGGGCAATCACCTTGTGAAAATAGCCCGAGAGCAACTTTGCGATTAGTTCCACCTGAATTCGTTGCATTCTCTGCCCACGCCCTGCGCAGAAATGCAGAAGAAATGCAAATTCCGTAACAGCAGCTTGATACATCGGCCTCTGTTTCATTGGTTGGTTGTCGTATGGTCACATTGGGCGTCAAAACACTGCTGGAAGTGGTGGCCTGTGTTCAATTTGAAAATCTTTCATTTCACTATTTGATGGATGAGTGACCCAGCAACCATCAATCACAGAGTTTGGTTTTGCACAAGAGCTAGAGGTATAACACCCCAAGCTATCAATACTATATGTTTTGATATATGGTAAGCTGCCCCACAGTCACAGTGGTCCGAGGTTTGTCACTGTTAATGTTTTTGTTGAACCAAGAAATAGTGAAGAAATATTACTGATGGTCGCCCAAGCGAGTCTGATTGTGTGGCAAAGAATTTGCAAGCCCTGGGGCTTTACCTTAATACAGGTGCATGTTCAACATAAATTAGAACATGTTCCAGTGAATTAAAATTGACATTCTGAATGTCAGAGCAATAACTGGCTGTAATACCGCACCGTGATGTGACAATAACATGTGCTGTATATATAGAATAACATCTCGAGACAATTTATTGAATGGTTGCCAGTTATGGATATTATTTGTTAGTTAAGAAAATGTTTAAGACTGGCGGGGTTTTTTTTCAACAGTTTTTTGTTTTAATCACAATGCTGCATTTCTGTCCATCAATGAGTTATGGTTTGATATAAGTCAATCCAGATCTAGTTGTAAACTCAATGGAAATAAGCTGTAACTTGTCAGTAAATTCAGTAAAAAAGTCAATTACAGAATGACGTTATGTGGAAAATGAACTAGAAAAATTCCTTGCAAATCATCAAGAGCTTACAACGGGCAGTACTAAGATCAAACCTTTGCATCACATCTAAAACAAGGACTCATGACCAACATTTTACTTTCAGAGATTATAGTTGCCATTGATCTGGATGCAGTAGGTACTAGACAATGGATGCAGTAAAATGGCTACGGTGTCTGAGATAAAGATAAATTGCAGCCCCAGATAGGAACAGAGTAGGGTTTCATTTGAAAGGTACTTGTGGTAGTCTTTAATGGGCTTACATTTGTCATCGATTCAAACAGGGTACTGTAGGATACAATGAGATATTCCCAGGCAATGTTAGTGCCGAGTGATTCCTCTTTCTCCTCGTCTTCATTAAATGAA